AAACTAGCTTAAATAATAAAGTTAATGCTACTGATTCTTGAAATTGAAAAGTCCACAGGCATGCCTTGACCCAGTGGTTCAGGGATGTTCTCCAGAACATCTCTCTACTTTCCCTTCATTCTGATGCTGGCTCTCCTCATAGTCCAAGGACTGCTTCTAGCAGTTCCCAAGGGTACAAGCTGGGAATGACACAGTTGACAATGGAGGAAGGAGTGGTTTCTCAAATAATTTATGATATTATTCCAATTATTATTTCCAGAAGGAACAAGAATGGATGGTGGGCAGTTTAACCAGCCTGGTTTAACCAATCAATAATTGAGTCCTGAGCATGGTCCTCTGTTGTATGGAGAATACAGAGCTGTACAAGACATGATCAATGGCTGCAAAAGGCTCAGACCATTTAAATGGTAAGGCTAACATACATAGAAAAGTGTGAGAATAATACTAGAAAGAATTTAATGAAGTGCCAAATTGCACAGCACAGACTGCAAATGTTAGAAATTCAGAAAAAAGATACTCCAACTTCCAAAAAGAGAAGTGACTGAAATTGGCCTCAAAGGTGTCTAAGTTTTGCATCAGACGCAGAAGGAAATGGGTGCATGCTAAACAAGAATAAGAAATGAACGAGATTGGGGACTTGCCCACCTGGAGAGAGAGTGAGTGAGAAACCAACCTCCACTTCCAGATTGATTTCCTCCACTGAGTACCTGGCTCCCCCATCCACGGTGACCATGCCTTCTTATTTATTCTGACAAGCTCATTTAATTGGAGCAGATAGAACATCTCATTGAAATTGAAAAGATCTGGATAGTCAATTCTTTTTATCAGTTTTCCCTTCTAGGAGAAGCATTCTACCTATCACTTTGCTTCTTCAAAACCATTACTCAATCAGCAAGAAAGGGAACCAGAGCTTTTGCTGCGCAGGCTGGTGACAAATGAGGGCAGTAATTTCCCTGAGCAGGCACTCCGGTTTGCCATTTGCCTAACCAGCAGCAGAAAAACACAGTGTCTAGATAATGTCTTTAAGATTACAATGGCCTTTTATGAGAGATAACTCACAGTGATTAGAAATGTTAGGACTGCGGACTAAAAGACAGCAGCTCAGCCATGAAGGATTGCTCCTGTAGGAACCCATATACTTACTGCAGGCATGGGGCTGATAGATCCTTTCTAGATATTCTGCTTAGTATGAAGGGCAACCAAAACTATGTCTTCTAAGTTTCTTACAGAATGCCTTTGCCCCGCTTGAGAACATGCAATGCCTCACTGGTCTCTGTTGGAATGCACACAGAGGTTCTCAGATGAGCTATGAAGATCTCCAGGGGCTGACTTCAATATAAAGCTCAAATCTTTCACTTGACCATAAACACTCAACTCTTTACTCAGGTCCAACTGGCTCACTATTGCTGCCTATGAAGACCCTCTGTGATTCAAACAGCATAACTTACAAAACACTGATCCACAGCAAGTAAGAGTAGCAGTAGCAATAGCAGCATCAATATTGTTAATTTCCTTGGAATTCTTTAGGTGAAAATTTAACAAAGATTATTAATAGCTTCCTAAGCCCAAAATTTCAATAGTTTATACAGATTTCATATAGAAGTGACTGGTCAGTATCTTAGTCCATTCAGGCAGCTGTAACAAAACACCCTAGACTGGATAACTTATAAACAGCATACATTTATTACTCAGAGCTCTCGAGGCTGAGAAGTCCAAGATCAAGGCACCAGCAGATTTGGTGTCTGGTGAGGGCTCATCCTCTGCCTCAAAGATGGTGACTTCTAGCTGTGTTCTCCTGTGGTACAAGGGGCAAATGAGCCCCCTCCTTTATAGGGACACTAATCCCATTCACCTCCTAAACCCCCACCTCTTAGTTCTATTGCATTACAGATTAGGTTTCAACATATGAATGTGGTGAGGACACAAAAAGTTTCACTTTATCTGTAGAGAAGAAAGCCATAAAATATCCAACTAGATTCATTAAGCCTTGATGCTCAGTCCCTTTCTCATCAGCACTCCTGTAGGAATAGCAGCAGTAGGTTTTTTATCTCTCTGTGTTTTATGAAACTTTAGATTACAGTTTATAGACCTCAGTAGACTTTTTAATTAAGGCTGATGTTGGTAACGTTGCCAAAAGAAACAGGACCTAGGCAAGATACATAATTCCTCCCCAACGTGGTCAGAAAACTATTCCCAGACAAGATGGTATTAATCCTTGTGTAAGCAAGAAATCTTGAAAGTGCAGAAATATGAAAGAAAATGCCTGTGACTTCCAGTTTCCCTGGAGAAAATTCTGCAGCTGCATGTTTCCTAGCTCAAGGGAACCTAAAAGGCAGGATTAAGGAGACCCATGACCGATAGCACTGCCTAACAGAATGAGATAAGCATGTGTATTTACAAGTATTGATTGACACTAGCTTGTACATTTAAGATTAGGAGCTACTTAGTTATGGAACCAGTGATTACACTGCTCGCAAGCAGCAGATGTGCAAGGTGAGCAGAATCAAGGAAGTTTGGTTCACTTCTACTTGTGCCACCAATTAATATTAAACGTATTATATCAGACCCTACTCATACAAGATGCTTCATGAAAAAATGATTCTATAGACAACTAAGTTTCAAAAACTATAGATAAGTCAAGGACCCAGCAGGAAGTAGATAGAATAGTCAAATTGGGTATTTCAAAATGAGTGCCACAACATGTAGGCAATATGCCCCAAAATCACAAGATAGTGCAGGCACTGGGTGTTGTTTGCATCTTGCCACAAGGGAAGGGAGCAGTCACCCAAAGAGACAGAAGTGTGTGCAAAGAGGGCCCTGGCAACAGCTGTGGCTGCCCGTCAAGGACACAGCCAGCCAGCAGCCACCCACAGGAGGGGGCCAGGGGAGTGAATACCTGGCCATTCCTTCCCTCTTACCTGCTGACCCCCACTGGCTAAACCCCACCGGAAGCCTGAGAGCAGGGGAGCTTAAATAAAAGTCCAAACATGTGTGGTGGCTCTGGTTTACAAAGTTTCAGTCTCCCAAGTTCTTTCTGTCTCCTTGCTCCACCGTCTCTAGGTTGTTGCCCTTATTTATATGGTCTAAAATGTCCACATGTGGCCATCTAAAAATTGATGACTATGAGAAAGAAAGGGAAAACTTCTTTGAGACAACCACATCTCTGGCACACTATGGCAACCAAAGTCCAGCCCTGAATCATGAAACCAAAAGAAACAAAAAGCCAAAAGAAACAAAAAATCAAAAGAAACAAAAAACCAAAAGATTCCAAAAAGGAATCTGAACTGACCAGCCTGGCAGGGCACAGAGTGGGCAGAGAATAGGGGAGACTGGGTCTGGAGGGGCAAACAGAAGCCCAGCACACCTTGCTTACCACTCTTCCTTGGAGAGAAACAGGACGGACGTGCCAGCTCATTAAAGCCTTTGAGAAGTTTGCTTATTTAGAAGTGTTTTGCCTGTGGTTTTCCTGATTTATTTAACCTCAGCCTATTTTCTTTCACATACCACGCTGCCCTGCGGAAGCCACTGTGGGAAGTGCTGTTCCTAACTGATCACTTCTATGTGAACCCACGTATGTGTTTGTTCACTTCCACACCATGTTAACTGAGCACCCCAGTGGGTCAGGCCCTGTGGTGCCCACATGAACAAGATGGTTACTATGGTCCCACTTTCCCTTGTGCACCAGCACAAGATCTGATGTTACCAAAACAATGGTAACACATCCTGCTGTCTCCTTTTCTCCAGTCAGGCTCCCCTCTGTTCTCCACACGGGTAAAATGCAAACCAAACTCTGCCACTCCCGTGATTATCACCCTCTAATCAGGTTCCACTGATCTTAACATAAAGAGAAAAGATAATACATTAGTGTGGCTTCAAGTGCCCTTCCTGATCTGGCCGCCTACCTGTGCAGCTTGATGTTTACCACTGCCTTCAATCATACCCATTCTCCAGTCACACTGACCTGACCACTTTTTAATTCTCTGAATATATTTTGTCCTTCCCTTGCTTTTTCCTCCTTTTCTCTCCCTGACCCTGCTACAGTGCCGTTTACTCTAGGAAGTCTCTGATGATTCTCCAATGTCTGCTCTGGGCACGCTTCCTCTGTGTTCCAGTAACATTCTATTACTGTTCCTTGTGTTAGCAGGTCTCGCCTTTCATTGAAACTGCCCTTTTTATGTCCAAATCTACTTCCAGACAACAATTCAGTCTAATTTCAATCCAAAATTATGTCCAATTTCATCCCATTTTTATCTCTGGTATCCAGCACATAATAGATGGCCCATGAATATTTGTTGAATGAATGCACTTAGGATTCGTTATTGCCTTTTAATTGTAGCAACTTTCAATATGCAGATGTTCTTGGGAGGCACAACAGATCACATCCCTTGCATCCCCATGGGATTCCATTATCATGTCCTTTTTCTTTAGAGAACAGAGACATTTGTCCAGCAAGAAGACACCAGGTAGATGGAAGTATGGTAAAAACTCCAAAAAGGAAACTCCAAAAAGAGCTAAGAAAGTACTACATAAAATGTTCACTAATTTTATAATCTTGCCCGAAATTTGGTCTTGTTTCCAAAACCAAAGTGCATGAGAGGATTATGATAATTTTTGTCCAATTAAATAGCCAGTCAACAATTACTCTACAACCTGAGTTAACCACACTATTCAGCCAGAGGTCTGGGGAGAGCTGGGACACAGAGCAGAAAGCAGAAAGCTCCGGAAACTATCAAGGGCCGTGATGCGTCCCCACACTGAAGGGATGAAAGCCCTCAGTGGTGTGGGCAGCCACATGCATGTTAACATGTGGCAACAAAACCAAAGAGGAAGAATGAGGAAAAATGGAAAACATCCTAAGCAACCTGGGAAGAAATAAAGCCCACAGGCGGAAATCAATACAAAGAAAAAGTGAATCTACAAATGAGTAAAAACCAGGTTGCCACAAAGTAGTTATCTAATTTTCTTTTCTCTTTTTCCTCTATGACTTAACATTGACCCACCTGATGGAACTTGGTGCTGGCCACGGAGTTCGGTTCGCAGCCGGGCTGAGCAAGGGTCAGAGTGTGGGTGGAACCTATCAGGAATTCGCAGCTCTCCTCGTCCTGGCTATTTCCTTAGGAAAGTCACGGCACCTCACTGTTCTTGTCTGTAAAATGAGAGAATATTGCTTAGATACCTCACAAGTTGATAATTTCAAAGGATGGTTAGAAAATAAGGCAATAAAAGATATAAGAAATATGATTTTTTTAGGACAAACTACAGCTGTGGGCCAAATCTGGCCCGCTATCAGTTCTTGTCAATAAGGTTTTATCGAGGCACAGCCTTGCGCAGTTATTTACTATAATGTCTACAGCTGCTTTTGCTATAACAGCAGAGGTGAGTTGTCAGAGACCAGGTGGCCCACAAAGGCTAAAATATTTGCTATCTGGCCTTTTATTATTTGCTATTCAAAGAAAAAAATCTTCGTCTTCCTTCAGTTGCTGGGAATATGGGCTGCAAGCTCACAGCTGCGCCTGCCATTGGGAACGCCCTTGGCCACGTGCCACTGCCTCAGCCACAGCCCTGCCCAGTCAGGGACTCACTGATGCAGAGATACACGGGTGAGCCCCTTGCTTCACACTGGGAGAAATGTGAAGCTGAACCCCAACTCCACACAGAACTGGCTGACACACAGCTGCGGCGGCACCACAGTTCGGCTGTTCCCTCCACCCAACCGTGCATACCTCACTTCCCTCCTAGATCCAGTTCCCCTTGGTCATATATTTTCTATATTTGTGCTTTTTTTTTTCCTCAACCAACTCAGCTAGTACTTTTGGTTAACTTTCAGAGAAAGAATGGTTTTTATTTATTTATGTTGTATACTCTTTCCTACATTCCTACTCTCTACTTTTAACTTTATTGTGTGCTTTCTTTTGGTTTACTTTGTTGCTTATTCCTCTCATTTGTTTGTTTGTTTTGTAGAAAGAGAGTCTCACTAGATTGCCCAGTCTGGTCTGGAACTCCCAGCCTCAAGCGATCCTCCTGCCTAAGCTGCCCAAAGTGCTGGGATTACAGGCATGAGCCACAGAACCCAGATCTCCCCTGGTTTTTTGAACTGATGCTTAATTTATTTAGTTTCATTCTTATTGATACGTGTTTAATGCTATGGATTTTTTTATGATCATTGCTTTAAATATATCACATAGATTTGATAGGTAGTTTTCATTATCATTAGTTTTCAGAAATTCTTATAAGACCAATTAGCATTTCCTCTTTCATCCAAGAGTTATTTAATAAAATTTTTCCAGATGGAAAGGTCTCTTTTTTAGGATTTGGTTAGTAATCTCTAGTTTAATTGTATTGTAACCAAATTTGTCTATAATATTTCACTTTTTGGAAATTAATGTTTATTAATGTTTGCTAATATAAAATCAATGTTTATAAATGTTCCATGTAAACTTGAGAAAAAGGTATATTCTCTATTATCAGAATGTCTAGTTTGGCATGAATTTGTAGATTATCTTTATAACATTGTTTAGATCTTTCTATATCCTCACTGATCTTTGTCAAATTGATCTGTCCTGGACTGAAACTGATGTGTTGACATGTTGGCCTACATGTTTTTATTTATATCTCCTTGCATCTCCTGTAATTTTTGTTTCATAAAAGTGGTGGTTGTGTTAATTGGCATACACATATTCATTATTGTTCTATCTCCAGTATAAATTATGTTTTTCACAATTTACAATGTCCTTATTTGTCACATTTAATACTTGTAGACTTCAATTCTGTTTTGATGTTGGTATTGCAATCTCCTCTCCCGTTGTGTTCATTTGCCTTGTATACTTTTGTTCATCTCTTCATATTTAGCCTTCTGAAGCACTTTGTATGTCTCTTGTCAGGTAACAGTTAGCTCCTACATTATGCAACAAAATAAAAATCTTCGTATTTTAATAGTCCATTCATAGTTACTAATACAACTAGTGTTCCAAATATTAATCAATCATAATATTTTATGTTGGGTATTATGTTCTACATTACTTTTACTAATTCTTTCCTCTGCATGACATATATGTTTTTCTCTTTATTTTTGAAACTTTCTTTTCTGAATTTAGGAATTCTGTATTTTTATTGTAGTGTTTTGCCTTTGTACCTATCTCTTTTTTAGTACTTTCCGTTCACTGTTTTCTTATTCAATCTTTTACTACCTGATATAGCAATATTTAGTGGTATATACTTTAACTCCCACCTATTTTTTAAAAGACAATACATTAATTTATTCTACTTTTCTTTTCCATCTTTTCCTCCCATTTTTTAAGTCACATTATTCCTTTTTTCCCTCATAACATGTAACATTTACATGTTAGTCTCCCTTCCTTGCCCCCACCTTTGTTTTAGTCTTATTTGTGCGAATATATTGCTGTGCCCCCACCTTTGTTTTAGTCTTATTTATGCAAATATATTGCTGTGCTCGTTCTTGGTCCTCTCGCTGAAGTTTTTCTAGTCAACTCTTTTTTAAACAACTCTCGTCCTCTGTTAGATTCCTCAAGGAGTCACGGACACACAATTCCCTAAGTAGCTGCATGTCCACAGCCACTCGCTGTAACTTTGGTGCGTAACAGTTTTACTGAAAATAAAAATCCTTTTTCACCTTTTCTTTCACTTTTTTTTTTTTAATTCTGTTCCATTTTTGCTTTGCTTTCTATGTTTTTTTCTGACAATTCTAATTACGGTTTAATTTCTCTCATATGTTAGTTAATGTTTTCTGCCTGAAAACCTTGAAATGATTTTCTTTATCTTTGCGGTCTATTCGTTCTAAAGTTTCAGGATAAAAAAATAAATAAATAAAGCCTAACAATTTTACTAGGATATATTTTGAAGTTCATCATTCCTTCCTCTTTTCCCAAGTATTCAGTGAGCTCTTTTATTATGTCAATTTGGGTCTTACTTTACTTTTGGAAAGTTTTTGGAATTAGATTTAAATATAAATTGTTTGATTACTTGGTTTTCTACATAAATAACTTCATTCTATGTATTAATATGTTTTTTCTTATATGCCGTCCAGTCACGTACTTTCTCTTCAGTCCTTTTTGCTTCTTCGTGTACCTTATTTTTATATGTACATTATTTTCTTACCTTTCTTCAGATCACCTTAGTATCTTTTGTTTGAATCATCTTTACTCTAAGATAATTTTGTCCTTTTTTCATTTCTTTGATGAGTTAAATCAACTCTCCTTTCATATCTTTGGTTTTTTCGGTCCATTTTTGTTTTTAATTTTTGTATTTCTGATTAGAAGTGGTTCTTCATCTTTGAGACATCTGTTTGAGTATATTTAACTCACTCTGGATCATATCTTACAGTTTGATTTTGCTGCATGGCTGTCTTTATGGATGATGTTTCATCAGCCGAAATGTGTTAATTCTCATCGTTTCTATTTTTGTGGTAACTTTGCGTAGACTTACTCAGTTTTACACATCAATTTTGAATATTTGTGATGGTTTACAAGATTCCTAGTGTAAGGGATTGGTGTCCTCTGTATAGCACAGTCCCGTTTTTTCAGTGGACAAGTTTTTTGTTGATGCAGGAAGTAGTTGTGCACCTATGATTTTTATATCACTCTCTGTTTTGTAGGACCACAATTTCCTCATTTCACTTTTTTAATTTTTTACCACCTTGTCACCAAGAGTGCCTCTCTATTATTTTTTGTCTTTTTCCTCTCAGAAGCTGTACCTTTTGAAGACTGCCACCTCAACCCACATTATTATAAGTGTCCTCCCTATAGTCAGTGCTGTGTTATACTAATACATTTTTCCCAGTATTTTCACAATTAGAATAACTAATTGATAATTAGGATAACTAAATGATAACCCTGGTGGTGGTTTAGAATAATTTTAGATTGCTGCTCACTCCCCTTTTCTCTCTTCTGTGCAGAATTTTTTTATAAGGCTGCCTTTGCCTGCAACAAAGCTTGCAGCAGAGCCTGGGTTTTGTGCAGTTTTGCAGGTTCTCCCTTGGTGTTGTCTTGTGTATTGTGGTGAGATGTGGATTTAGGCAACTGCCTTTGTCCTCAACTACCTGGAAGCAAACACCATGTATATTTTGAGAGATATCTGTAGTTTTGACTTAAGCTCTAAATTTACAACTTAATTAAAGAGAGGACATTTATAAAGCAGTGAATTTTAAAAGACATTAAATAACCAAATTTTAAAACTGGCCTCATCAAAAACTTTAGAGGAGTCTAGATGAAAGAATGACTTTTGAGAGGCAAAGCACAGCATAGTGTTTAAAAGCACAGGCTCCGGGCTCAGACAGAAGTGAGCTGTGAACTGTGCCACCACAGGTAAGGATTTTTATGCTCATTTTACAGATCAGGAAGCTGAGGTCCCTAGAGCATGAATCATATACCCACCCTCACAGAATGTGAATAGCTAAGTGAAACTGCATGAAAAGAGCTTCGGTTAGAGTTTATGATGCATACCAAATGCTCACTAAGTGTTAACTACCATTAACAAAATAATGGAAGAAATTAGAAAAAGCTTCATAGATTATAGGGGCTTACCTTGTACATTAAAATTTAGGCGATAATGGAAAGAGAGATTCCTAAGGAGAGTTACAGCATGGGCAAAGACGTAGACTTGATCCTCAAGCCTGATATTCCAGCAAAAGACTGGACAGTTGGAATTGCAGAAAAATAAGACAAATCTTCCCTGCATCTGAAGATTTATATGGGAGAGCAGGGTGTATAAGATTAGATTGATCCATAAGCCTGATCATAAAAGGAATTGAATGAGTTTGAGGACTTAGGGGTTCACCTAATCCAGTGCTTCTGGAGAAAATGGTCCAGATAAAATTTTAAACTGCCTGTGTGGCTTGCCTTCTATTCTCATTGGGCAGTTCTGATGCAGAGTATCAATGATGTTTTCATATACAATGCCCAAGAGTCGATAAGAAATTATTAACCAACTGAGAAACAAGAGGAAGAGTAAAAGCAGACAAGAGAAACAGAATCATAAACAACCAAGATATTTGAGATATTAGGTCCAAACTCCAAAATAAAGATGATTAATAAGTTCAATAAATGACTTTATGAAAAGATGACAAGGTAGAGGATTTTACCAAAGAACTGAAATACATAAAAAGAATCCAATGAAAATTTTAAAACATAA